GGATGTATATTCTACAGTTTTGATGAATAAACATAATGTAATGTATCATGAAGGGCAAAGTCAAATTGCTTCAGCCAGAAACAGGAAATAGCTCATGGATTTGTTGGTTGCGGATTGCTAGGAATCTTCACATGTATATATGTAACACACTTGCTAAAAAGGCATGTCGAACTGACATATTCATAGAAAATGATAAGGCTTATTTTTCATTTTTGAAACAAAATCTGGGAAACATGATCATATAGATTCATCACTAACATGTATTGAGTTGGGATCATGTAAATTAGATGGAGAAAACAATAATGAGAACAAAATATATGTTGCTGGAAATTGTTGCAATTGAGGAACACTTGTATTGTATGTATGAAGTCAATGTAAATGTCAGTGTGCTAAGAGTAGATAAACAGACTGTTGATGTTGTTTTCCAAAAGTCAATACAACCAAACATCTGCATGGAAAAACTTATTCACCTGTTGAGATAGGAGCTGTTGGCAAATCAGTAGAGGTAACAGTTTCAATAGTGGATGTTGCATATTCAGATGCTTGTGTTATCCCAGTACCAGAATCCAAAGTGGATGAAAGGTAATCTGTTTCCTGTGTGTCTGTTTCTATTGTGGTAATACTTGCTTCAAAAGATCTAGACTGTTCGGTTGTTTCAAATGTTTCTTGGGAGGTAACTGTTGGTAGAGTGGTTGATGCAACTTCTGATGTTGGTATTTCGGATGTATATTCTACAATTTGGATGAATAAACATAATGTAATGTATCATGAAGGGCAAAGTCAAATTGCCTCTGCCAGAATTGAGAAACAGCACATGCAATTATTTGTTGATGAATGCAAGGAATCTTCACATTTATATATGTACCAGACTTGATAACAAGTCATGTCGAACTGACATATTCATAGACAATGATAAGGCTTATTTTTCATGTTTGAAACAATATCAGAGAAAAATGATCATATAGATTCATCACTAACATGTATTGAGTTGGGATCATGTAAATTAGAAGGAGAAAACAATAATGAGAACAAAATATGTTGATGGAAATTGTTGCAATTGAGGAACACTTGTATTGTATGTATGAAGTCAATGTAAATGTCAGTGTGCTAAGAGTAGGTAAACAGACTGTTGATGTTATTTTGCAAAAGAAAATAAAACCAAACATCTGCATGGAAAAACTTATTACCTGTTGAGAAAGGAGCTGTTGGCAAATCAGTAGAGGCAACAGTTTCAATAGTGGATGTTGCATATTCAGATGTTTGCGTTATCCCAGTACCAGAATCCAAAGTGGATGAAAGGTAATCTGTTTCCTGTGTGACTGTCTCTATTGTGGTAATAGTTGCTTCAGAAGATCTAGACTGTTCAGTTGTTTCAAATGTTTCTTGGGAGGTAACTGTTGGTAGAGTGGTTGATGCAACTTCTGATGTTGGTATTTCAGATGTATATTCTACAATTTGGATGAATAAACATAATGTAATGTATCATGAAGTGCAAAGTCAAATTGCTTCAGCCAGAAACAGGAAATAGGTCATGGATTTTTTGGTTGCGGATTGCTAGGAATCTTCACATGTATATATGTAACACACTTGTTAAAAAGTCATGTCGAACTGACATATTCATAGAAAATGATAGGGCTTATTTTTCATGTTTGAAAGAAAATCTGGGAAACATGATCATATAAATTCATCACTAACATGTATTGAGTTGGGATCATGTAAATTAGATGGAGAAAACAATAATGAGAACAAAATGTATGTTGATGGAAATTGTTGGAATTGAGGAAGACTTGTATTGTATGTATGAAGTCAATGTAAATGTTAGTGTGATAAGAGTAGCTAAACAGACTGTTGATGTTATTTTGCAAAAGAAAATAAAACCCAACATCTGCATGGAAAAACGTATTCACCTGTTGAGAAAGGAGCTGTTGGCAAATCAGTAGAGGTAACAGTTTCAATAGTGGATGTTGCATATTCAGATGTTTGTGTTATCCCAGTACCAGAATCCAAAGTGGATGAAAGGTAATCTGTTTCCTGTGTGACTGTTTCTATTGTGGTAATACTTGCTTCAGAAGATCTAGACTGTTCGGTTGTTTCAAATGTTTCTTGGGAGGTAACTGTTGGTAGAGTGATTGATGCAACTTCTGATGTTGGTATTTCAGATGTATATTCTACAATTTGGATGAATAAACATAATGTAAAGTATCATGAAGGGCAAAGTCAAATTGCCTCTGCCAGAATTGAGAAACAGCACATGCAATTATTTGTTGATGAATGCAAGGAATCTTCACATTTATATATGTACCAGACTTGATAACAAGTCATGTCGAACTGACATATTCATAGACAATGATAAGGCTTATTTTTCATGTTTGAAACAATATCAGAGAAAAATGATCATATAGATTCATCACTAACATGTATTGAGTTGGGATCATGTAAATTAGAAGGAGAAAACAATAATGAGAACAAAATATGTTGATGGAAATTGTTGCAATTGTGGAACACTTGTATTGTATGTATGAAGTCAATGTAAATGTCAGTGTGCTAAGAGTAGGTAAACAGACTGTTGATGTTATTTTGCAAAAGAAAATAAAACCAAACATCTGCATGGAAAAACTTATTTACCTGTTGAGAAAGGAGCTGTTGGCAAATCAGTAGAGGCAACAGTTTCAATAGTGGATGTTGCATATTCAGATGTTTGCGTTATCCCAGTACCAGAATCCAAAGTGGATGAAAGGTAATCTGTTTCCTGTGTGACTGTCTCTATTGTGGTAATAGTTGCTTCAGAAGATCTAGACTGTTCAGTTGTTTCAAATGTTTCTTGGGAGGTAACTGTTGGTAGAGTGGTTGATGTAACTTTTGATGTTGGTATTTCAGATGTATATTCTACAATTTGGATGAATAAACATAATGTATTGTATCATGAAGTGCAAAGTCAAATTGCTTCAGCCAGAAACAGGAAATAGGTCATGGATTTTTTGGTTGCGGATTGCTAGGAATCTTCACATGTATATATGTAACACACTTGTTAAAAAGTCATGTCGAACTGACATATTCATAGAAAATGATAGGGCTTATTTTTCATGTTTGAAAGAAAATCTGGGAAACATGATCATATAAATTCATCACTAACATGTATTGAGTTGGGATCATGTAAATTAGATGGAGAAAACAATAATGAGAACAAAATGTATGTTGATGGAAATTGTTGGAATTGAGGAAGACTTGTATTGTATGTATGAAGTCAATGTAAATGTTAGTGTGATAAGAGTAGCTAAACAGACTGTTGATGTTATTTTGCAAAAAAAAATAAAACCCAACATCTGCATGGACAAACGTATTCACCTGTTGAGAAAGGAGCTGTTGGCAAATCAGTGGAAGCAACAGTTCCAATAGTAGTTGTTGCATATTCAGATGTTTGTGTTAGCCCAGTACCAGAATCCAAAGTGGATGAAAGGTAATCTGTTTCCTGTGTGCCTGTTTCTATTGTGGTAATACTTGCTTCAGAAGATCTAGACTGTTCAGTTGTTTCAAATGTTTCTTGGGAGGTAACTGTTGGTAGAGTGGTTGATGCAACTTCTGATGTTGGTATTTCGGATGTATATTCTACAATTTGGATGAATACACATAATGTAATGTATCATGAAGGGCAAAGTAAAATTGCTTCAGCCAGAATCAGGAAATAGCTCATGGATTTTTTGGTTGTGGATTGCTAGGAATCTTCACATGTATATATGTAACACACTTGTTAAAAAGTCATGTCGAACTGACATATTCATAGAAAATGATAAGGCTTATTTTTCATGTTTGAAAGAAAATCTGGGAAACATGATCATATAGATTCATCACTAACATGTATTGAGTTGGGATCATGTAAATTAGAAGGAGAAAACAATAATGAGAACAAAATATATGTTGATGGAAATTGTTGCAATTGAGGAACACTTGTATGTATAAAGCCAATGTAAATGTCAGTGTACTAAGAGTAGATAACAGACTGTTGATGTTGTTTTGCAAAAGACAATACAACCAAACATCTGCATGGAAAAACTTATTTACCTGTTGAGAAAGGAGCTGTTGGCAAATCAGTAGAGGCAACAGTTTCAATAGTGGATGCTGCATATTCAGATGTTTGCGTTATCCCAGTACCAGAATCCAAAGTGGATGAAAGGTAATCTGTTTCCTGTGTGACTGTTTCTATTGTGGTAATACTTGCTTCAGAAGATCTAGACTGTTCGGTTGTTTCAAATGTTTCTTGGGTGGTAACTGTTGGTAGAGTGCTTGATGCAACTTCTGATGTTGGTACTTCAGATGTATATTCTACAATTTGGATGAATAAACATAATGTAATGTATCATGAAGGGCAAAGTAAAATTGCTTCGGCCAGAATCAGGAAATAGCTCATGGATTTTTTGGTTGCGGATTGCTAGGAATCTTCACATGTATAAATATAACACACTTGATAAAAAGTCATGTCGAACTGACATATTCATAGAAAATGATAAGGCTTATTTCTCATGTTTGAAAGAAAATCTGGCAAAAATGAGGAATTGCAATTGAGGAACACTTGTATTGTATGTATGAAGTCAATGTTAATGTCAGTGTGCTAAGAGTAGGTAAACAGACTGTTGATGTTATTTTGCAAAAGAAAATAAAACCCAACATCTGCATGGAAAAACTTATTTACCTGTTGAGAAAGGAGCTGTTGGCAAATCAGTAGAGGTAACAGTTTCAATAGTGGATGTTGCATATTCAGATGTTTGTGTTAGCCCAGTACCAGAATCCAAAGTGGATGAAAGGTAATCTGTTTCCTGTGTGACTGTCTCTATAGTGGTAATAGTTGCTTCAGAAGATCTAGACTGTTCGGTTGTTTCAAATGTTTCTTGGGAGGTAACTGTTGGTAGAGTGGTTGATGCAACTTCTGATGTTGGTATTTCGGATGTATATTCTACAATTTGGATGAATAAACATAATGTAATGTATCATGAAGGGCAAAGTCAAATTGCCTCCGCCAGAATTGAGAAACAGCTCATGCAATTATTTGTTGATGAATGCAAGGAATCTTCACATCTATATATGTACCAGACTCGATAAAAAGTCATGTCGAACTGACATATTCATAGAAAATGATAAGGCTTATTTTTCATGTTTGAAACAAAATCAGAGAAAAATGTTCATATAGATTTATCACTAACATGTATTGAGTTGGGATCATGTAAATTAGAAGGAGAAAACAATAATGAGAACAAACTATATGTTGATGGAAATTGTTGCAATTGAGGAACACTTGTATTGTATGTATGAGGTCAATGTAAATGTCAGTGTGCTAAGAGTAGGTAAACAGACTGTTGATGTTATTTTGCAAAAGAAAATAAAACCAAACATCTGCATGGAAAAACTTATTCACCTGTTGAGATAGGAGCTGTTGGCAAATCAGTAGAGGTAACAGTTTCAATAGTGGATGTTGCATATTTAGATGTTTGCGTTATCCCAGTACCAGAATCCAAAGTGGATGAAAGGTAATCTGTTTCATGTGTGACTGTTTCTATTGTGGTAATACTTGCTTCAGAGATCTAGACTGTTCGGTTGTTTCAAATGTTTTCTTGGGAGGTAACTGTTGGTAGAGTGCTTGATGCAACTTCTGATGTTGGTACTTCAGATGTATATTCTACAATTTGGATGAATACACATAATGTAATGTATCATGAAGGGCAAAGTCAAATTGCTTCAGCCAGAAACAGGAAATAGCTCATGGATTTTTTGGTTGCGGATTGCTAGGAATCTTCACATCTATATATGTACCAGACTTGATAAAAAGTCATGTCGAACTGACATATTCATAGAAAATGATAAGGCTTATTTTTCATGTTTGAAACAATATTAGAACAATGATCATATAAATTCATCACTAACATGTATTGAGTTGGAATCATGTAAATTAGATGGAGAAAACAATAATGAGAACAAAATATATGTTGCTGGAAATTGTTGCAATTGAGGAACACTTGTATTGTATGTATGAAGTCAATGTAAATGTCAGTGTACTAAGAGTAGATAAACAGACTGTTGATGTTGTTTTGCAAAAGACAATACGACCAAACATCTGCATGGAAAAAAACATATTCACCTGTTGAGATAGGAGCTGTTGGCAAATCAGTAGAGGTAACAGTTTCAATAGTGGATGTTGCATATTCAGATGTTTGTGTTATCCCAGTACCAGAATCCAAAGTGGATGAAAGATAATCTGTTTCCTGTGTGACTGTTTCTATTGTGGTAATACTTGCTTCAGAAGATCTAGACTGTTCAGTTGTTTCAAATGTTTCTTGGGAGGTAACTGTTGGTAGAGTGGTTGATGCAACTTCTGATGTTGGTATTTCAGATGTATGTTCTACAATTTGGATGAATAAACATAATGTAATGTATCATGAAGGGCAAAATCAAATTGCTTCAGCCAGAATCAGGAAACAACTCATGGAATTATTTGTTGATGAATGCAAGAAATCTTCACATCTATATATGTACCAGACTTGATAAAAAGTCATGTTGAGCTGACATATTCATAGAAAATGATAAGGCTTATTTTTCATGTTTGAAAGAAGATCTGGGAAAAATGATCATATAGATTCATCACTAACATGTATTGAGTTGGGATCATGTAAATTAGAAGGAGAAAACAATAATGAAAACAAAATATATGTTGATGGAAATTGTTGCAATTGAGAAACACTTGTATTGTATGTATGAAGTCAATGTAAATGTCAGTGTGCTAAGAGTAGGTAAACAGACTGTTGATGTTATTTTGCAAAAGAAAATAAAACCAAACATCTGCATGGAAAAACTTGTTTACCTGTTGAGAAAGGGGCTGTTGGCAAATCAGTAGAGGCAACAGTTTCAATAGTGGATGCTGCATATTCAGATGTTTGCGTTATCCCAGTACCAGAATCCAAAGTGGATGAAAGGTAATCTGTTTCCTGTGTGATTGTTTCTATTGTGGTAATACTTGCTTCAGAAGATCTAGACTGTTCGGTTGTTTCAAATGTTTCTTGGGAGGTAACTGTTGGTAGAGTGCTTGATGCAACTTCTGATGTTGGTACTTCAGATGTATATTCTACAATTTGGATGAATACACATAATGTAATGTATCATGAAGTGCAAAGTCAAATTGCTTCAGCCAAAAACAGGAAATAGGTCATGGATTTTTTTGGTTGCGGATTGCTAGGAATCTTCACATGTATATATGTAACACACTTGTTAAAAAGTCATGTCGAACTGACATATTCATAGAAAATGATAAGGCTTATTTTTCATGTTTGAAAGAAAATCTGGGAAACATGATCATATAGATTCATCACTAACATGTATTGAGTTGGGATCATGTAAATTAGAAGGAGAAAACAATAATGAGAACAATATATATGTTGATGGAAATTGTTGGAATTGAGGAAGACTTGTATTTATTGTATGTATGAAGTCAATGTAAATGTTAGTGTGCTAAGAGTAGATAAACAGACTGTTGATGTTGTTTTGCAAAAGACAATACAACCAAACAATTGCATGGAAAAACGTATTTACCTGTTGAGATAGGAGCTGTTGGCAAATCAGTAGAGGTAACAGTTTCAATAGTGGATGTTGCATATTCAGATGTTTGTGTTATCCCAGTACCAGAATCCAAAGTGGATGAAAGGTAATCTGTTTCCTGTGTGCCTGTTTCTATTGCGGTAATACTTGCTTCAAAAGATCTAGACTGTTCGGTTGTTTCAAATGTTTCTTGGGAGGTAACTGTTGGTAGAGTGGTTGATGCAACTTCTGATGTTGGTATTTCGGATGTATATTCTACAATTTGGATGAATAAACATAATGTAATGTATCATGAAGGGAAAAGTCAAATTGCCTCTGCCAGAATTGAAAAACAGCACATGCAATTATTTGTTGATGAATGCAAGGAATCTTAACATTTATATATGTACCAGACTTGATAACAAGTCATGTCGAACTGACATATTCATAGAAAATGATGAGGCTTATTTTTCATGTTTGAAACAATATCAGAGAAAAATGATCATATAGATTCATCACTAACATGTATTGAGTTGGGATCATGTAAATTAGAAGGAGAAAACAATAATGAGAACAAAATATGTTGATGGAAATTGTTGCAATTGAGGAACACTTGTATTGTATGTATGAAGTCATTGTAAATGTCAGTGTGCTAAGAGTAGGTAAACAGACTGTTGATGTTATTTTGCAAAAGACAATACAACCAAACATCTGCATGGAAAAACTTATTTACCTGTTGAGAAAGGAGCTGTTGGTAAATCAGTAGAGGTAACAGTTTCAATAGTGGATGTTGCATATTCAGATGTTTGCGTTATCCCAGTACCAGAATCCAAAGTGGATGAAAGGTAATCTGTTTCCTGTGTGACTGTCTCTATTGTGGTAATAGTTGCTTCAGAAGATCTAGACTGTTCAGTTGTTTCAAATGTTTCTTGGGAGGTAACTGTTGATAGAGTGGTTGATGCAACTTCTGATGTTGGTATTTCAGATGTATATTCTACAATTTGGATGAATAAACATAACGTAATGTATCATGAAGTGCAAAGTCAAATTGCTTCAGCCAAAAACAGGAAATAGGTCATGGATTTTTTGGTTGCGGATTGCTAGGAATCTTCACATGTATATATGTAACACACTTGTTAAAAAGTCATGTCGAACTGACATATTCATAGAAAATGATAAGGCTTATTTTTCATGTTTGAAAGAAAATCTGGGAAACATGATCGTATAGATTCATCACTAACATGTATTGAGTTGGGATCATGTAAATTAGAAGGAGAAAACAATAATGAGAACAAAATATATGTTGCTGGAAATTGTTGCAATTGAGAAACACTTGTATGTATGAAGTCAATGTAAATGTCAGTGTGCTAAGAGTAGGTGAACAGACTGTTGATGTTATTTTGCAAAAGAAAATAAAACCAAACATCTGCATGGAAAAACTTATTAACCTGTTGAGAAAAGTGCTGTTGGCAAATCAGTAGAGGCAACAGTTTCAATAGTGGATGTTGCATATTCAGATGTTTGTGTTAGCCCAGTACCAGAATCCAAAGTGGATGAAAGGTAATCTGTTTCCTGTGTGACTGTTTCTATTGTGGTAATACTTGCTTCAAAAGATCTAGACTGTTCGGTTGTTTCAAATATTTCTTGGTAGGAAACTGTTGGTAGAGTGGTTGATGCAACTTCTGATGTTGGTATTTCGGATGTATATTCTACAATTTGGATGAATAAACATAATGTAATGTATCATGAAGGGCAAAGTCAAATTGCCTCCGCCAGAATTGAGAAACAGCTCATGCAATTATTTGTTGATGAATGCAAGGAATCTTCACATCTATATATGTACCAGACTCAATAAAAAGTCATGTCGAACTGACATATTCATAGAAAATGATAAAGCTTATTTTTCATGTTTGAAACAAAATCAGAGAAAAATGATCATATAGATTCATCAGAAACATGTATTGAGTTGGGATCATGTAAATTAGAAGGAGAAATCAATAATGAGAACAAAATATATGTTGATGGAAATTGTTGCAATTGAGAAACACTTGTATTGTGTGTATGAAGTCAATGTAAATGTCAGTGTGCTAAGAGTAGGTAAACAGACTGTTGATGTTATTTTGCAAAAGAAAATAAAACCAAACATCTGCATGGAAAAACTTATTTACCTGTTGAGAAAGGAGTTGTTGGCAAATCATTAGAGGCAACAGTTTCAATAGTTGAAGTTGCATATTCAGATGTTTGTGTTAGCCCAGTACCAGATTCCAAAGTGGATGAAAGGTAATCAGTTTCCTGTGTGACTGTTTCTATTGTGGTAATACTTGCTTCAGAAGATCTAGACTGTTCGGTTGTTTCAAATGTTTCTTGGGAGGTAACTGTTGGTAGAGTGGTTGTTGCAACTTCTGATGTTGGTATTTCGGATGTATATTCTACAATTTGGATGAATAAACATAATGTAATGTATCATGAAGGGCAAAGTAAAATTGCTTCAGCCAGAATCAGGAAATAGCTCATGGATTTTTTTGGTTGCGGATTGCTAGGAATCTTCACATGTATATATGTACCGGACTTGAATAAAAAGTCATGTTGAGCTGACATATTCATAGAAAATGATCAGGCTTATATTTCATGTTTGAAACAAAATCTGGGAAAAATGATCATATAGATATATCACTAACATGTATTGAGCTGGGATCATGTAAATTAGATAGAGAAAACAATAATGAGAACAAAATATATGTTGATGGAAATTGTTGCAATTGAGGAACACTTGTATTGTATGTATGAAGTCAATGTAAATGTCAGTGTACTAAGAGTAGATAAACAGACTGTTGATGTACTTTTGCAAAACAAAATAAAACCAAACATCTGCATGGAAAAACTTATTCACCTGTTGAGAGAGGAGCTGTTGGCAAATCTGTAGAGGTAACAGTTTCAATAGTGGATGTTGCATATTCTGATGTTTGCGTTATCCCAGTACCAGAATCCAAAGTGGATGAAAGGTAATCTGTTTCCTGTGTGACTGTTTCTATTGTGGTAATACTTGCTTCAGAAGATCTAGACTGTTCGGTTGTTTCAAATGTTTCTTGGGAGGTAACTGTTGGTAGAGTGGTTGATGCAACTTCTGATGTTGGTATTTCAGATGTATATTCTACAATTTGGATGAATAAACATAATGTAATGTATCATGAAGGGCAAAGTCAAATTGCTTCAGCCAGAATCAGGAAATAGCTCATGGATTTTTTGGTTGCGGATTGCTAGGAATCTTCACATGTATATATATAACACACTTGATGAAAATCATGTCAAACTGACATATTCATAGAAAATGATAAGGCTTATTTCTCATTTTTGAAAGAAAATCTGGCAAAAATGAGGAATTACAATTGAGGAACACTTGTATTGTATGTATGAAGTCAATGTAAATGTCAGTGTGCTAAGAGTAGGTAAACAGACTGTTGATGTTATTTTGCAAAAGAAAATAAAACCAAACATCTGCATGGAAAAACTTATTTACCTGTTGAGAAAGGAGTTGTTGGCAAATCAGTAGAGGCAACAGTTTCAATAGTGGATGTTGCATATTCAGATGTTTGTGTTATCCCAGTACCAGAATCCAAAGTGGATGAAAGGTAATCTGTTTCCTGTGTGACTGTTTCTATTGTGGTAATACTTGTTTCAAAAGATCTAGACTGTTCGGTTGTTTCAAATGTTTCTTGGGAGGTAACTGTTGGTAGAGTGGTTGATGCAACTTCTGATGTTGGTATTTCGGATGTATATTCTACAATTTGGATGAATAAACATAATGTAATGTATCATGAAGGGCAAAGTCAAATTTCTTCAGACAGAAACAGGAAATAGCTCATGGATTTGTTGGTTGCGGATTGCTAGGAATCTTCACATGTATATATGTAACACACTTGATGAAAATCATGTCGAACTGACATATTCATAGAAAATGATAAGGCTTATTTTTCATGTTTGAAACAAAATCAGAGAAAAATGATCATATAGATTCATCACTAACATGTATTGAGTAAGCATCATGTAAATTAGATGGAGAAAACAATAATGAGAACAAAATATATGTTGCTGGAAATTGTTGCAATTGAGGAACACTTGTATTGTACGTATGAAGTCAATGTAGATGTCAGTGTACTAAGAGTAGATAAACAGACTGTTGATGTTGTTTTGCAAAAGACAATACGACCAAACATCTGCATGGAAAAACTTATTCACCTGTTGAGATAGGAGCTGTTGGCAAATCAGTAGAGGTAACAGTTTCAATAGTGGATGTTGCATATTCAGATGTTTGTGTTATCCCAGTACCAGAATCCAAAGTGGATGAAAGATAATCTGTTTCCTGTGTGACTGTTTCTATTGTGGTAATACTTGCTTCAGAAGATCTAGACTGTTCAGTTGTTTCAAATGTTTCTTGGGAGGTAACTGTTGGTAGAGTGGTTGATGCAACTTCTGATGTTGGTATTTCAGATGTATATTCTACAATTTGGATGAATAAACATAATGTAATGTATCATGAAGGGCAAAGTCAAATTGCTTCAGCCAGAATCAGGAAATAGCTCATGGATTTTTTGGTTGCGGATTGCTAGGAATCTTCACATGTATATATGTAACACACTTGATGAAAATCATGTCGAACTGACATATTCATAGAAAATGATAAGGCTTATTTCTCATTTTTGAAAGAAAATCTGGCAAAAATGAGGAATTACAATTGAGGAACACTTGTATTGTATGTATGAAGTCAATGTAAATGTCAGTGTGCTAAGAGTAGGTAAACAGACTGTTGATGTTATTTTGCAAAAGAAAATAAAACCAAACATCTGCATGGAAAAACTTATTTACCTGTTGAGAAAGGAGTTGTTGGCAAATCAGTAGAGGCAACAGTTTCAATAGTGGATGTTGCATATTCAGATGTTTGTGTTATCCCAGTACCAGAATCCAAAGTGGATGAAAGGTAATCTGTTTCCTGTGTGACTGTTTCTATTGTGGTAATACTTGCTTCAGAAGATCTAGACTGTTCGGTTGTTTCAAATGTTTCTTGGGAGGTAACTGTTGGTAGATTGCTTGATGCAACTTCTGATGTTGGTACTTCAGATGTATATTCTACAATTTGGATGAATACACATAATGTAATGTATCATGAAGGGCAAAGTCAAATTGCCTCCGCCAGAATTGAGAAACAGCTCATGCAATTATTTGTTGATGAATACAAGAAATCTTCACATCTATATATGTACCAGACTTGATAAAAAGTCATGTCGAACTGACATATTCATAGAAAATGATAAGGCTTATTTTTCATGTTTGAAACAATATTAGAACAACGATCATATAAATTCATCACTAACATGTATTGAGTTGGAATCATGTAAATTAGATGGAGAAAACAAAAATGAGAACAAAATATATGTTGCTGGAAATTGTTGCAATTGAGGAACACTAGTATTGTATGTATGAAGTCAATGTAAATGTCAGTGTACTAACAGTAGATAAACAGACTGTTGATGTTATTTTGCAAAAGAAAATAAAATCAAACATCTGCATGGAAAAACAAATTCACCTGTTGAGATAGGAGCTGTTGGCAAATCAGTAGAGGTAACAGTTTCAATAGTGGATGTTGCATATTCAGATGTTTGTGTTATCCCAGTACCAGAATCCAAAGTGGATGAAAGATAATCTGTTTCCTGTGTGACTGTTTCTATTGTGGTAATACTTGCTTCAGAAGATCTAGACTGTTCAGTTGTTTCAAATGTTTCTTGGGAGGTAACTGTTGGTAGAGTGGTTGATGAAACTTCTGATGTTGGTATTTCAGATGTATATTCTACAATTTGGATGAATAAACATAATGTAATGTATCATGAAGGACAAAGTAAAATTGATTCAGCCAGAATCAGGAAATAGCTCATGGATTTTTTGGTTGCGGATTGCTAGGAATCTTCACATGTATAAATGTAACACACTTGATGAAAAGTCAAGTCGAACTGACATATTCATAGAAAATGATAAGGCTTATTTTTCATGTTTGAAAGAAAATCTGGCAAAAATGATCATATAGATTCATCACTAACATGTATTGAGTTGGGATCATGTAAATGAGAAGGAGAAAACAATAATGAGAACAAAATATATGTTGATGGAAATTGTTGCAATTGAGAAACACTTGTATTGTATGTATGAAGTCAATGTAAATGTCAGTGTGCTAAGAGTAGGTGAACAGACTGTTGATGTTATTTTGCAAAAGAAAATAAAACCAAACATCTGCATGGAAAAACTTATTCACCTGTTGAGATAGGAGCTGTTGGCAAATCAGTAGAAGTAACAGTTTCAATAGTGGATGTTGCATATTCAGATGTTTGCGTTATCCCAGTACCAGAATCCAAAGTGGATGAAAGGTAATCTGTTTCCTGTGTGACTGTTTCTATTGTGGTAATACTTGCTTCAGAAGATCTAGACTGTTCGGTTGTTTCAAATGTTTCTTGGGAGGTAACTGTTGGTAGAGTGGTTGATGCAACTTCTGATGTTGGTATTTCAGATGTATATTCTACAATTTGGATGAATAAACATAATGTAATGTATCATGAAGGGCAAAATCAAATTGCTTCAGCCAGAATCAGCAAACAGCTCATGGAATTATTTGTTGATGAATGCAAGGAATCTTCACATGTATATATGTACCAGACTTGATAAAAAGTCATGTCGAACTGACATATTCATAGAAAATGATAAGGCTTATCTCTCATGTTTGAAAGAACATCTGGGAAACATGATCATATAGATTCATCACTAACATGTATTGAGTTGGGATCATGTAAATTAGAAGGAGAAAACAATAATGAGAACAAAATATATGTTGATGGAAATTGTTGCAATTGAGAAACACTTGTATTGTATGTATGAAGTCAATGTAAATGTCAGTGTGCTAAGAGTAGGTAAACAGACTGTTGATGTTATTTTGCAAAAGAAAATAAAACCAAACATCTGCACGGAAAAACTTATTTACCTGTTGAGAAAGGAGCTGTTGGCAAATCAGTAGAGGCAACAGTTTCAATAGTGGATGCTGCATATTCAGATGTTTGCGTTATCCCAGTACCAGAATCCAAAGTGGATGAAAGGTAATCTGTTTCCTGTGTGACTGTTTCTATTGTGGTAATACTTGCTTCAGAAGATCTAGACTGTTCGGTTGTTTCAAATGTTTCTTGGGAGGTAACTGTTGGTAGAGTGCTTGATGCAACTTCTGATGTTGGTACTTCAGATGTATATTCTACAATTTGGATGAATACACATAATGTAATGTATCATGAAGGGCAAAGTCAAATTGCTTCAGCCAGAAACAGGAAATAGCTCATGGATTTTTTGGGTTGCGGATTGCTAGGAATCGTCACATGTATATATGTACCAGACTTGAAAAATAGTCATGTTCAGCTGACATATTCATAGAAAATGATAAGGCTTATTTTTCATGTTTGAATGAAAAACTGGGAAAAATGATCATATAGATTCATCACTAACATGTATTGAGTTGGGATCATGTAAATTAGAAGGAGAAAACAATAATGAGAACAAAATATGTTGATGGAAATTGTTGCAATTGAGAAACACTTGTATTGTATATATGAAGTCAATGTAAATGTCAGTGTGCTAAGAGTAGATAAACAGACTGTTGATGTTGTTTTGCAAAAGACAATACAACCAAACAACTGCATGGAAAAACGTATTCACCTGTTGAGATAGGAGCTGTTGGCAAATCAGTAGAGGTAACAGTTTCAATAGTGGATGTTGCATATTCAGATGTTTGTGTTATCCCAGTACCAGAATCCAAAGTGGATGAAAGGTAATCTGTTTCCTGTGTGACTGTTTCTATTGTGGTAATACTTGTTTCAAAAGATCTAGACTGTTCGGTTGTTTCAAATGTTTCTTGGGAGGTAACTGTTGGTAGAGTGGTTGATGCAACTTCTGATGTTGGTATTTCGGATGTATATTCTACAATTTGGATGAATAAACATAATGTAATGTATCATGAAGGGCAAAGTCAAATTTCTTCAGACAGAAACAGGAAATAGCTCATGGATTTGTTGGTTGCGGATTGCTAGGAATCTTCACATGTATATATGTAACACACTTGATGAAAATCATGTCGAACTGACATATTCATAGAAAATGATAAGGCTTATTTTTCATGTTTGAAACAAAATCAGAGAAAAATGATCATATAGATTCATCACTAACATGTATTGAGTTGGGATCATGTAAATTAGATGGAGAAAACAATAATGAGAACAAAATATATGTTGCTGGAAATTGTTGCAATTGAGGAACACTTGTATTGTACGTATGAAGTCAATGTAGATGTCAGTGTACTAAGAGTAGATAAACAGACTGTTGATGTTGTTTTGCAAAAGACAATACGACCAAACATCTGCATGGAAAAACTTATTCACCTGTTGAGATAGGAGCTGTTGGCAAATCAGTAGAGGTAACAGTTTCAATAGTGGATGTTGCATATTCATATGTTTGTGTTATCCCAGTACCAGAATCCAAAGTAGATGAAAGGTAATCTGTTTCCTCTGTGACTGTTTCTATTGTGGTAATACTTGCTTCAGAAGATCTAGACTGTTCAGTTGTTTCAAATGTTTCTTGGGAGGTAACTGTTGGTAGAGTGGTTGATGCAACTTCTGATGTTGGTATTTCAGATGTATGTTCTACAATTTGGATGAATAAACATAATGTAATGTATCATGAAGGGGAAAATCAAATTGCTTCAGCCAGAATCAGGAAACAGCTCATGGAATTATTTGTTGATGAATGCAAGAAATCTTCACATCTATATATGTACCAGACTTGATAAAAAGTCATGTCGAACTGACATATTCATAGAAAATGATAAGGCTTATTTTTCATGTTTGAAACAATATCAGAGAACAGTGATCATATAAATTCATCACTAACATGTATTGAGTTGGAATCATGTAAATTAGATGGAGAAAACAATAATGAGAACAAAATATATGTTGCTGGAAATTGTTGCAATTGAGGAACACTTGTATTGTATGTATGAAGTCAATGTAAATGTCAGTGTACTAAGAGTAGATAAACAGACTGTTGATGTTGTTTTGCAAAAGACAATACGACCAAACATCTGCATGGGAAAACATATTCACCTGTTGAGATAGGAGCTGTTGGCAAATCAGTAGAGGTAACAGTTTCAATAGTGGATGTTGCATATTCAGATGTTTGTGTTATCCCAGTACCAGAATCCAAAGTGGATGAAAGATAATCTGTTTCCTGTGTGACTGTTTCTATTGTGGTAATACTTGCTTCAGAAGATCTAGACTGTTCGGTTGTTTCAAATGTTTCTTGGGAGGTAACTGTTGGTAGAGTGGTTGATGCAACTTCTGATGTTGGTATTTCAGATGTATATTCTACAATTTGGATGAATAAACATAATGTAATGTATCATGAAGGGCAAAATCAAATTGCTTCAGCCAGAATCAGCAAACAGCTCATGGAATTATTTGTTGATGAATGCAAGGAATCTTCACATGTATATATGTACCAGACTTGATAAAAAGTCATGTTGAGCTGACATATTCATAGAAAATGATAAGGCTTATCTCTCATGTTTGAAAGAACATCTGGGAAACATGATCATATAGATTCATCACTAACATGTATTGAGTTGGGATCATGTAAATTAGAAGGAGAAAACAATAATGAGAACAAAATATATGTTGATGGAAATTGTTGCAATTGAGAAACACTTGTATTGTATGTATGAAGTCAATGTAAATGTCAGTGTGCTAAGAGTAGGTAAACAGACTGTTGATGTTATTTTGCAAAAGAAAATAAAACCAAACATCTGCACGGAAAAACTTATTTACCTGTTGAGAAAGGAGCTGTTGGCAAATCAGTAGAGGCAACAGTTTCAATAGTGGATGCTGCATATTCAGATGTTTGCGTTATCCCAGTACCAGAATCCAAAGTGGATGAAAGGTAATCTGTTTCCTGTGTGACTGTTTCTACTGTGGTAATACTTGCTTCAGAAGATCTAGACTGTTCGGTTGTTTCAAATGTTTCTTGGGAGGTAACTGTTGGTAGAGTGCTTGATGCAACTTCTGATGTTGGTACTTCAGATGTATATTCTACAATTTGGATGAATACACATAATGTAATGTATCATGAAGGGCAAAGTCAAATTGCTTCAGCCAGAAACAGGAAATAGCTCATGGATTTTTTGGGTTGCGGATTGCTAGGAATCGTCACATGTATATATGTACCAGACTTGAAAAATAGTCATGTTCAGCTGACATATTCATAGAAAATGATAAGGCTTATTTCTCATTTTTGAAAGAAAATCTGGCAAAAATGAGGAATTACAATTGAGGAACACTTGTATTGTATGTATGAAGTCAATGTAAATGTCAGTGTGCTAAGAGTAGGTAAACAGACTGTTGATGTTATTTTGCAAAAGAAAATAAAACCAAACATCTGCATGGAAAAACTTATTTACCTGTTGAGAAAGGAGTTGTTGGCAAATCAGTAGAGGCAACAGTTTCAATAGTGGATGTTGCATATTCAGATGTTTGTGTTATCCCAGTACCAGAATCCAAAGTGGATGAAAGGTAATCTGTTTCCTGTGTGACTGTTTCTATTGTGGTAATACTTGCTTCAGAAGATCTAGACTGTTCGGTTGTTTCAAATGTTTCTTGGGAGGTAACTGTTGGTAGATTGCTTGATGCAACTTCTGATGTTGGTACTTCAGATGTATATTCTACAATTTGGATGAATACACATAATGTAATGTATCATGAAGGGCAAGTCAAATTGCCTCCGCAGAATTGATAAACAGCTCATGCAATTATTTGTTGATGATACAAGAAATCTTCACATCTATATATGTACCAGACTTGATAAAAAGTCATGTCGAACTGACATATTCATAGAAAATGATAAGGCTTATTTTTTCATGTTTGAAACAATATTAGAACAATGATCATATAAATTCATCACTAACATGTATTGAGTTGGAATCATGTAAATTAGATGGAGAAAACAAAAATGAGAACAAAATATATGTTGCTGGAAATTGTTGCAATTGAGAAACACTTGTATTGTATGTATGAAGTAAATGTAAATGTCAGTGTGATAAGAGTAGCTAAACAGACTGTTGATGTTATTTTGCAAAAGAAAATAAAACCCAACATCTGAATGGAAAAAAAACTTATTTACCTGTTGAGAAAGGAGCTGTTGGCAAATCAGTAGAGTCAACAGTTTCAATAGTGGATGTTGCATATTCAGATGTTTGTGTTAGCCCAGTACCAGAATCCAAAGTTGATGAAAGGTAATCTGTTTCCTGTGTGACTGTTTCTATTGTGGTAATACTTGCTTCAGAAGATCTAGACTGTTCAGTTGTTTCAAATGTTTCTTGGGAGGTAACTGTTGGTAGAGTGGTTGATGCAACTTCTGATGTTGGTATTTCGGATGTATATTCTACAATTTTGATGAATAAACATAATGTAATGTATCATGAAGGGCAAAGTCAAATTGCTTCAGCCAGAAACAGGAAATAGCTCATGGATTTGTTGGTTGCGGATTGCTAGGAATCTTCACATGTATATATGTAACACACTTGTTAAAAAGTCATGTCGAACTGACATATTCATAGAAAATGATAAGGCTTATTTTTCATGTTTGAAACAAAATCAGAGAAAAATGATCATATAGATTCATCACTAACATGTACTGAGTTGGGATCATGTAAATTAGAAGGAGAAAACAATAATGAAACAAAATATATGTTGATGCAAATTGTTGCAATTGAGAAACACTTGTATTGTATGTATGAAGCCAATGTAAATGTCAGTGTGCTAAGTGTAGGTGAACAGACTGTTGATGTTATTTTGCAAAAGCAAATAAAACCAAACATCTGCATGGAAAAACTTATTTACCTGTTGAGAAAGGAGCTGTTGGCAAATCAGTAGAGGCAACAGTTTCAATAGTTGAAGTTGCATATTCAGATGTTTGTGTTAGCCCAGTACCAGATTCCAAAGTGGATGAAAGGTAATCTGTTTCCTGTGTGACTGTTTCTATTGTGGTAATACTTGCTTCAAAAGATCTAGACTGTTCTGTTGTTTCAAATGTTTCTTCCGAGGTAACTGTTGGCAAAGTGGTCGATGCAACTTCTGATGTTGGTATTTCAGATGTATATTCTACAATTTGGATGGATAAACATAATGTAATGTATCATGACGGGCAAAGTCAAATTGCTTCAGCCCGAAACAGGAAATAGCTCATGGATTTTTTGGTTGCGGATTGCTAGGAATCTTCACATGTATATATGTAACACACTTGATAAAAAGTCATGTCGAACTGACATATTCATAGAAAATGATCAGGCTTATTTTTCATGTTTGAAAGAAAATCTGGGTAAAATGATCATATAGATTCATCACTAACATGTATTGAGTTGGGATCATGTAAATTAGAAGGAAAAAACAATAATGAGAACAATATATATGTTGCTGGAAATTGTTGCAATTGAGGAACACTTGTATTGTATGTATGAAGTCAATGTAAATGTCAGTGTGCTAAGAGTAGATAAACAGACTGTTGATGTTGTTTTCCAAAAGACAATACAACCAAACATCTGCATGGAAAAACTTATTCACCTGTTGAGATAGGAGCTGTTGGCAAATCAGTAGAGGTAACAGTTTCAATAGTGGATGTTGCATATTCAGATGTTTGTGTTATCCCAGTACCAGAATCCAAAGTGGATGAAAGGTAATCTGTTTCCTGTGTGTCTGTTTCTATTGTGGTAATACTTGCTTCAAAAGATCTAGACTGTTCGGTTGTTTCAAATGTTTCTTGGGAGGTAACTGTTGGTAGAGTGGTTGATGCAACTTCTGATGTTGGTATTTCGGATGTATATTCTACAATTTGGATGAATAAACATAATGTAATGTATCATGAAGGGCAAAGTCAAATTGCCTCTGCCAGAATTGAGAAACAGCACATGCAATTATTTGTTGATGAATGCAAGGGATCTTCACATTTATATATGTACCAGACTTGATAACAAGTCATGTCGAACTGACATATTCATAGACAATGATAAGGCTTATTTTTCATGTTTGAAACAATATCAGAGAAAAATGATCATATAGATTCATCACTAACATGTATTGAGTTGGGATCATGTAAATTAGAAGGCGAAAACAATAATGAGAACAAAATATGTTGATGGAAATTGTTGCAATTGTGGAACACTTGTATTGTATGTATGAAGTCAATGTAAATGTCAGTGTGCTAAGAGTAGGTAAACAGACTGTTGATGTTATTTTGCAAAAGAAAATAAAACCAAACATCTGCATGGAAATACTTATTTACCTGTTGAAAAAGGAGCTGTTGGCAAATCAGTAGAGGTAACAGTTTCAATAGTGGATGTTGCATATTCAGATGTTTGCGTTATCCCAGTACCAGAATCCAAAGTGGATGAAAGGTAATCTGTTTCCTGTGTGACTGTCTCTATTGTGGTAATAGTTGCTTCAGAAGATCTAGACTGTTCAGTTGTTTCAAATGTTTCTTGGGAGGTAACTGTTGGTAGAGTGGTTGATGTAACTTCTGATGTTGGTATTTCGGATGTATATTCTACAATTTTGATGAATAAACATAATGTAATGTATCATGAAGGGCAAAGTCAAATTGCTTCAGCCAGAAACAGGAAATAGCTCATGGATTTGTTGGTTGCGGATTGCTAGGAATCTTCACATGTATGTATGTAACACACTTGTTAAAAAGTCTTGTCGAACTGACATATTCATAGAAAATGATAGGGCTTATTTTTCATGTTTGAAGAAATCTGGGAAACATGATCCATTGCCGGAA